CCTTCAAGGAATCTCCTGAATGCTCCTCAGACTGTGCTGGGAGACAGCAAACAGCTACCTGTGCAACTTCTGTAGGGTCCAGTTATCGCCTCATGCTACCAGTAGTGACACTGACCTAGTCAAATGCAAAACTAATGAGAAAACAGACAGAAAAGATAAGGAGGGAAAATATGTCAATATCTCCACCTGTAAACCATTTCTGTGTTGCTGAGTTGTCTCTGGGTTTCCCCTCTAGTGAACTTGTTGTTAATTTTATTATAACCAAAACAGCTGAAGCTGATTAACAACCCCCTCTGCTACTTAACTCACCAGATCAATATCCCAGAAGTTTACTTAGCTGAGTCTACACTCTGGTTAAAAAGTGTTGCTTTACATTTTGTGAACAGTAAACATGTACATGAGACTTGTGACCACAAAGCCTCCAGCCTCACATAAACAACAGCCGAAAGGAAAGCTATCTATGCTATATGTTGTGCTAGGAATTTCATCATGAAATGTAGCTCATTTTTTCTTGATGTGTCATTCACTCTCCCATAAATTTGAGGGACATGTATGCGAGACTCATGGTCAAAAACAAAAATTTAATTTTACCACGGTCAAGAGAAGGAGCATAGCGAAATAAAATTTGAAAAGACATTTTGTTAATATGTAGCCCTTTTGACGTTCACTTGAGTTACACAAGCTAGAAAGAGTATATTACTTGTGATGCAGGCAGTAGAAGAAACTTTCACCATCACTTAACCTTGGCAGCCTAAGGTGAAAAATGAAAACTGGAAAAAATAACTAAATATATGTCTTCAGCTACATGATGGCCTGTCTGTCAACATGAACCATAAGGCTAAATTTAAGTCTGTTAGCAAAAGCAGAGCCATTTTTTAATCATTTTTTTTATCTAAGACAATGAATGATGCAGAAGGGCTGGACAGAAAAAGCAAATAGCATAAAGGATGGCACAGAAATAAATGGGCAGAGTAGAAAAGGAAGATGAATTTCACACTGAAGATGCTCCTGAAAAAAAGAAAGTGCTGTTTCTGTGTTTTTCCCACATTTTAAACACCGTCGTGTTCTGTCTGATCAACACATTATAATGCAGAAAGAACACATATCGTATTACATTAGAATGCATGAATGGAATCTGCATTAGCAAAGGCTTTTTCCACAAATCTTTTTTTGATTTTTGTAGTCTCTCTGTTTCTTTACAAAAACCTGAGATAATCTGTGCAGCATCAATATAGATTGATTTCTGAGTTGTTGCTCATTTGTAGCGCACCATGGCATTGAAAAAGCAGAATGGGAAGTAGTCGGTCGTGAGGAGGATGAAGACAGAGAAGAGGAGAAGCAAAAAGGGAAAAGGCGAGGTGGGATTTTAAATGTGAAATAATCACTCAGTGATTCATCTCTGGTCAGACAAATTTATCGTGATGAGATTAACAGGGGACAATGTCCTGAATTTATAAAAACTTTATAAAAAGCCAGCATGGAAGATACCCCGTGAAATGTAATGACTTTATTCATTTGAGCTCCCTAACAGATTTCATTATCTACATATGAAAATAAAATTATGTGCAATGTTTCATTCGGTCCCTGTCTGGACACAAGATTTGCTAAATATGTCGCAATGTTGTGGATTTTATTCTCTGCCTCTAGTAACTGAAACAGGGTTGTCACCAATTTTCTGCATAGCTTTAAATTTGTTAATACAATATTTACCATAAGTTTACCCAGTTATCTGTTAAAATTTCTATATTAATGTGTATGAAATCACCCTTGTCCTTTCTTTACTTTGGACCACCAAAGTCTCACCACAGTCTCACTGCAGCACTGTGGTGGGATTAGTGGCTTGTCTTTAGCCTCTGGTATAATGCGAATTTGAATATGATCATTTATTGTGTAACTGTTGTGCACATTTATTTATAATTAATTGGCAGTGTTTCAGGACCAGATATTAATCTTAAAAGCTAAAAATATGCTTTTAAAAAAAGAACTAAAAGATGATTACCTAAAATGAAAGTTTTTTTAATTTCAAGTTATTAAACAATAAGGAAATATGCTTGATATATACTGAATATATCCAGTCAATTGCATTTATGTTGGACCAATTCCACAAGATTTTACATTTTGCATTGTACTTATGCAACAAAATTACATGTAAAAGTCAGCTATACCAAGCTGAAGCCAAGTGTGGCATACCTGTACTTTCTTTACTGCATATAAATGCTTGTAAAATCTGCGGTCTGACCAGTGAAGAAACACTGCACTAGTTAAAGATTTTGTTAGCTTTATAGAGCAAAGCAATCCCCTTTTTTAAGGTAGGATCTAGTGGGAATCCCTGCCACCTCCTCCAATAAGCACCTCTATAGTACTGACACTGACCTTTAGGGTATACTAGCTCCTGCTGTGTGAAGCTATGGTGCTGTAGATGGCTATAGCACAGTGAATGATCTGGAGCTGACTTTTGAAGAGAGATTGCTTCATCCCTCAAGGGCTGCTGAAACTTTTGATCTCAGGAGAGCCCCAGGCCAAACAGTTGTTTGGGATCATATACGATGATTTCAAAGGTAAGAGACCAACACAAACACAAGGTCTGAAGAACAAGACAGAAAATCTGAGCTTAATTAAATCCTGTGGATTTTGGGTCAGTGAATTGTAAAGTGTTTCTTTGTCATTTCACTAAACTGTTGATGATGCTTTTCAAGTAGAAAACCTGTGGAAGAATTCCCTCCTTTGTATTTTGTCTGGGTTTGTTTTTTTTTCATTTCACTCATTCTTTCTCTATGCATCTCCTTCGTGGTTGTGTTTATGTGCATGATCAAGGTAAGAATTTGGATTTAAATGCACCATTATTCCACCAATCTTGAAGCTTCTCTGATGCAGGTTGTTTCCTCTCAGTCTTGCAATATAACTGTCGTTTAATGTTAACGGTTCACAATTGATAAATACCTATAAAGCAGCATCTTGACTCATAACGTTCATTTGTGGAACAATGTCCCATTGCCTCTCTAGTCTGTGGAGTAATTGGCCATTTATATTTAATTAGGCAGTTCTTCCTCCCACTGCTAGCATGGTTCCCTCAGTGCTGAGAGAGGCACTTTACTGTGCTCCTCTCGCTGGCTTCCTTTAAACCAGCTCATTAATATTTCAGCTGGCATCATCAACCAAACAATAATAAAATAATAATGTGACGGCTGATTAAACAGCTAAACTCCGACTTTTTAATGTGCATTTAAATGTGTATTTGCATAAACATGCCTGGTAAACGCCTCTTTAGAGGACAGTGATGCCTTGCAGCACACCACTGCAGCCAACTTCTAAAGCTTAATAAAACCTTAATTAGGTTCGAGTCTCAGCCAAGATAATCGTAAAGAGACTGTCGAGCAACCTCTCCTCTCTTACACCCTTCTGCACAACACAGATCCTACACTAGGTTATAACCGGCTTTTTTTTTTTCTCTCTCTCTGTGGAAAAATTATCCAGAGATCTTAAACCATTCTCCACATTATCACTTTTTTTCTTCGTTTTGGTTTTAGGGTGCAAAACTTGTAACAAGTCTTAACTTATCAAGTGTACAAGCAAAGGGAGTAAAAACCTGAAATCAAATCCGCTCGAATAATTCATGAATTACAAAGAGAAATTTTAATTAAGATCTCTGATTACGCAGCACTTTATAAAAGGGAATTTAAAACAGTGTGAATGGAAAAACCAACAGTGAAAAGAGGAGGAAGCTGGGCTGGAGTGTAGGACCAAAAATACTCACAACATTTTTTGTTATATTGATTTATATTTACAATATAGAATAATGAAGGAGGAAACGGCATCTGCACATTTATGCACAGCTTGTCCTGGTGTCCACATTGATATAAACATATGACTTTTTAAGAAGAACAATTAGAAAAATTACACAAATTCAAAACCAAAAAACTTAACTCGAAGTTTAATTAAGAGATCTGAAATCTGTAGACAGCACCTTTCTGCTGGTAGTGCAGGTAGGTAACTTGCACACCTGTGAGGACACAGTTATTGCTGAACAACATAAAAGCTTTGTTGCCAGCCAGACATTTTGCAAGGTCCTGATTATTTAAATAAAGAAAGAAGTTGTCAACTACCTGATTACTACAGTGTTGAGTAATGCAGTAATGTAACAAGTTACTGTACATAATTCAGTGATTGTTGTACATTATGTTGTTACTCAGGTTGTAAAGGTTCTTAAGTTATCTGCACGCCGGGAACATGGAAAGACAAAAAAAAACAAAAGCACAAACAAACTTGTGTTTTGTTCCCAATTTCTGTTCACATGCAGGAGGAGGAAATTTGGCATTGAGGTGTGTAACTTTTGAGCATTGGAGAGATCAGCATTACTTTTATAATTACTGCTGAAGTGCAAACTGCATGCAGGATAGAAACAGATGGAATATGCTGAGAAGTATCAGACAGGGTCCTAATGCAAAGCTGGCAAAAAACTCAGATTGATGTTAAAGTTGAGTGCATTTTGACCCGAGCCCAGCAGCCAGACCCTGAACCTTAACAAGCAACAAAGACAGTGATGAGCAGTCAGGCTTTTAGCGTTATTGCCTCCATTTCTACAGTAGACTCACCATGGCAATCATTTTAAGGTCTCTTTGTGCCAGTTTTCATCTTTGCTTTGTCTTTTTGTCTTGTGCTTGTACATAAACACTAAAAGAAAGGTCTTATATGTGTCCTCAGTAGTTACCTGGTAATTACAGTGACAGTATGTTTCAAGTCCTTTACTGGGTAACAGCAAAAGTACTGTAACGAGTAGTTCCCCACAACCACTTGCTAACGAGTAGTTAGCAAGTGGTTGTGGGACTGTTGTTGCAAAGTAAAACTGGCTACAAAGAGCTACATGGTGCTGCACTGAAAACCTTGCAACTCCTCTGCAAACACTCAACAATTACTCACTTGCACATTATTAAGTTTTGCTCCTGCCCGAGTGTGCCCCCCCCCCATACACACACACACACACACATAAAGCATATTAAGGATTGTACATTAACATAAGACTGTTGTCGAAACCATACTGAAATTCACCAGAGAAACACAAACACACACACATATAAAGAGAGAGAGAGTATGCATAGTATGCAAACAGCCATAATTCGTCATAATTCGACAGGACAAATCAACAATTGACACTGACTAATTAATATTAAAATCCGTAACATAATATATTGTTTGGAGTTTAGTCTGTTACTGTTACTATTTTTACCATTTCTTTTTGGAGCAACTGTAACCCACGTTATTTCCTTAGGGATTAATAAAGTATTCTGATTCTGATTGTTTCAGGATGACCTGCCATTATCCAGTGACACATCTGCTTACCTGTATCTTAAACTCATTTCTCCTCCTCTTCTTTTCTATTTTTTCTAAACTGAGCACCTGATGGCTTTGAACTTTTCTTGTCCATCTTCCATTGATTTTCATTTTGCATTCCAGTATGAACACAAATCCCCCAACCCGAGGTCACCACAACATAACCTAACACACCTACACCTTAGTTCACAGATTCGCTTTGTCAAGGGTTTATTTCTGGGATTTCACACAACCCAGGATTCAAATCATGAATACATAATGGGCTTGGATTTACAGCATTATGAATGAAATGTGCTCTATTTGGAAGCAGCTGCCCCCCTCCCCTTTCGACGGCTTGTGTGTGAGACTTTAAATCATCAAACTGTAAATTATAAATTTTAAATTGTTATTGATCCCTTTACCTCCTAAAGTGTATATTTATTTTCTTACTGTTCTTATATTTATTGTTTGTTCACTTGCACTGCTGTAACTGACGCCTCGTCGTCTTGTCTCTCTATATCCAATCCAATCCAATTTTATCTATAAAGCACCTTAAAATACCCAGCACAGGAACAAAGTGCTGTACAGAAAATAAGTTAAAACAATAGAAAAACAGAAAACACCAAAATAAATAAATAAAACACATAAAACATAAAATAAAAACAGCCCAATATTAAAACAACAACAAGATAAAACAATATATACTGGACTGTATGTAGCGGAGATGACAATCAAGTTTACTTTGACTTCAGCAGCAAGCAGGCGCACCGAGGGCTCTCGCGCTCACTTTTTGCGTATAGAATTTTGAAAAAACATCGGTGCAAATTATGAAGCTGTATCATAATATTGTTGGTTATTAGATGCTGCTCCAGCTAGCCAGAGAATCCTCTCCTGCCTGCGCCGCAAGCAGCAGGCGCACCTCGCAAACAAAGGGCACCCTTACTCCCAGCAAATGGGCGATAGAAAACCGATCGGTGCTTATGCCATTCCCAATATGCGCTGGTTGATGTCGGGGCAGCATGAGTACGAGCAATTTTTTATTTTTATTTTTTTTGCCGATGCCCGTGATGCCGCCCCGGGCAACCGCCCGTGTCGCCCAAATCAAAAACCGCTACTGCTTGGGACCAGTCGGCATCTTACATTCAAACAGTGGGTGACTGTAGCAAGATGCTAGCAACCAAAGTAATCAAAATGAGGTTGAACTTGTCCAGAAAGAAAGTGTGTGACTGAGGCATAAGACAGCGGCAAACTAAAGCTTTTATATACTCCAACAATATGGCTTTGAAAAGTTCAGGCGCTAAACTGGCCTGTCTTCAGTCCAAACCCTTCACTCATTAAAACAAAAAAATAATAATAATAATATGCATGTTATAAAGGAAGCCCTGAACTGCTGAGCAGCTGAATTCGGTATCAATTTGCATCGTCAACATTTTGATCCACCGAGTTCCTAAACTGAGTTTTGTTGATAGAAGACCTGATGCAACATGGGGCAAACCTGACCTTGGTGGGAATTTACACATCGCTGCGTTAAAATTAAAAAAAAAATCATCACATTTTAAAAATAAAGAAACAAAGTTTACTGTTCCTATAACGACTTTTTGGTATTTTACACATGCTCCAATAGTTATTCAGATTGACTCCTTGCCGAGGCGTGAACAAAGGCCAGTTTTCCATCAGCCTAACCAGGGTCAGACCATTTTCATATTGTCAAGCGCAGTCTCCAAACACTCACTGTACCACTCACCTCAAACTAATTCCCTTAGTTACTATTCTACAGCTTATAATCTGCTCATTCTGTAACACAATTAAATTCCCAGAGACAATTACCATGCTTGTATTCACACAGCTGCACACATAGCCACAAACACGTGCACACTCACACACACACCCATAGCCAGGATAGTGCAATTCCCATCAGTAATCAGTGCAGCGCAGTGAAGCAGACTCAGCAAACCTGTGAGTGTAGTAATGGAGAGGGAGTGGTCTGTCTTTATTGAACCAATATAGAGTGAGAAAGGAAAGCCATAAAACACACACGGCATCATTTGTTTCTCCACTGACATCTAAAAGTAAAACTTTCAGACATTTTATATAAGCTCAGCTCATTTATCATTTCCTTGTGTCACCCAAAAACACCTCCAAGACTGCAACACCCCCCACCCTCTATCCCATTTCATTCATGAATCTTTTTTTTTCCTACACCTGAGAAGAAATTTGAAATCCGCCACTTTTTCTTTCAGACTGCGAGTGCTACGGCCACTCCAATCGCTGCAGCTACATCGACTACCTGAACATCGTCACATGCGTCAGCTGCAAGCACAACACCAGGGGCCAGAACTGCCAACACTGCAGACTGGGATTCTACCGCAACGCCTCTGCCGAACTGGATGATGAGAGCGTCTGCATCGGTGAGTCTGCTGGGAAACGGGGAGAATATGTGGAGGGGGGGTGGGCGCATCGGTACGACAGCAGTGGATGTATGTGTGTGTGTGTGTGTGTGTGTGTGACTGACAGTGAAACAGGTAAGAAGATCCATTAGGCGTGTTTAAATTTTCAAACAACAAGATGATGCATCTTAAGTTAAAAACAAAGTTACCAACACTTGGTGGTGTAGCAGTGAAATTTTAATGCGTAGTGTTTAATGCAAATGTTTTTTCAGCGGCACTTTTATAAAACATATTTGCCTATGTTTGCTTTGAATTTAGATAGGGCACGATAATTACGGGATTATAGTGCTGTCAGATTCAAGCCGTGTGCGTTTACATCCATATCAGAGAAAAAGTGAAGAAATAGCCTTGTTTTAGACACTTATTCTCAAACTGCAGGGAACATACAGTTCTAACAAAATCTTAAAGCCACTCTAATTGATAGGAACAAACAAAGCAAAGGATGATACGACTACTTGTGATGAAATCTCTGCTTGTTTCAGGGCTTTCTTGCCTTTCAGCGCAGTCTTAAGTAAGTGGAACAGTATACACAGGTGACTGATGTGGCCACTCAAGAAGTTTTTATTGCTTGGAAATCAAAGCTTTGTGAGTTTCTAAGGGCTTTTTCGCTACTATCTTAAAGCTTGGCGGACTACAGTTTGAATAAAAGAAGTCAGACACTGTTCAGCCAGTACTAATGCGAACACCCTCAGGCATCCTTTGAGCTAGAAGCCAACTCTTTAAACTCATATCATGTCTTCTGTTCTACCATACAAAGCCAAAACAATGAAGAACAGAAACTGTGGGATTATTTTATAACTGTACTGTAAAAAAAGAATACTTTTGTATTGTTATTTGCAGTGATATGCATGATAATGTGTGTTTGTTTTAAAGTCAGTCACATTAAGGGCACGTCCTGATAAGAGGTCACTCTGTTTGCATAGCTGTGGAGCGGAAAATCTGGTGTTGATTTGGATCCATCTCTAGGTGGACTGCAGGGGGTTGGAGGGTAAACTCACTGCGGTCAGGGCACACACAGGGCCAGGCCTTGGAGTCAGCACAAATAAGGTCCCATTAGCTTATCTGCCAGCACACTGGCACACCAAGTGTGGCAACAGAAATCAGTTCAAACTAGCATCTCTAGAGCAAGAAGCCAAACACTGTAAAATACAAATGTGTTTGCACTCAGTCTCCCCACACACATTCACAGATAAAAGCTCCCATACGTCAACCAATACTGATGCACATGACCCACAAACACAGGAATGCCAACCACAGCGCTGTGGTTGTCTTAATCTCAGACTTTTTCCCACTTCTATTAATTTTTAATGCTAAATTTTATAATAAATTACTAAAGGCGATCTCGGGTTTTCTCAAAAGACAAGCTATTGACTTACATCAAATTATGATAGAATCATCAGTTCATCATCAACTCACTGACAAATGTATCCTAAATACGCAGCTCTGCAGTTTGTGAACCTTTTATCTGCTGCCAGCTGTCACTGATCTCAATATTATTCAAGGATATATGGATTTGGAATCCTAATGACTAGTGGAAATAAAGCAATTTATTAAGAAAAAATAGTATTATGTTTAGTCTATACATATTAATATAGGGCGCCTGTGCACTGACTGACAGCTCTCACATCAGCTCAAGTGAAATGCACTAAATAGACAAATGAACTGAGAGTGTTTTAACCAAACTACAGCAGGCAGGGGAGACTTCACAGCACACTGTGTATATGGAGTATTTTTGTGACTTTGCAGCTGTTTCTCCAGCACAGGCAGTTTGTAACCCAATTTAAAAACTACCTGATAATGGCATTGGGATCCATCCATCTTCTTCGGTTCATCTAATTCAGGGTCATAACTGGACTGGAGCCCAGCTGTCATAGGGCAAGAGGTGGGCTACACCCCGGACAGATTGCCAGTCTATCCCACAGAGGGAGAGAGACACAACAGCTATAGGCAATTTACAATTACCAGTTAACTTAATGTGCATGTCTTTGAACTATGGGAAGAAGCTGGATCACAGCCTGTAGATTCGAACCCAGGACCTTTTAGCTATGAGGCAGTGGTGCTAACCACCACACTACCATGCTCCCTGCGTTAAAAACTCACACTTTAAGAAGGCTTCTAAAGTTGTTGAAAAATGCTTACCTGCAAGGGTCTTGTGCCATCCTTCAGTTCTTGATATTTTGCTTTCAAGGAGCCAGACATTCTTGTATTTCTTAAAGGTGTCTTCAGCACTAGTTCTCCAGGTTTTCTCACCCATTCAAGCATTTAAAAAGTTACCTAATTCAAGGGAAGAACCAGTGTAGTGTCTACACACAAAAGTTAGCAAAGAACCAAAAGAAACCATTTTAAATTGTATGTTTAGGCACTTTGTTACTAGCAGCCTGTCACAAAACCCCATCATTTGCTCCCATTACTTTAGTTAAATCTACAAATAATGCCAAAAATAATTTTTAAAAAAATATGCAAATAGATGAACACTTGGCATTTTTCAGCATGGTATGCAGTGTGTCTTTAAAAAGAATTGAGGAAACTGGACAAGTGGAGGCTAGAAGTAGAAGTGCCAGGCCTAAAAAAACGATCTATAACAGATGAACAATATCTGAAAATCTTGTCTCTAACAAGTGGGGGGTGGGGATCCAGTAAAGACCTGACGCAGGACCTGAGAGCTACATCTGGCCCCTCAGTTCATCCATCTACTGTTCAATGAAGCCTCATCAGAAATGGTCTCAGTGGAAGCTGTTAAGAAGCCATTCTTAAGGAAGAGAAACAGGGAGAAAAAGCTGAGGCATGTGTAATTACACAAGAACCATTGAGAGGAGAGAAGAGAGGTGTAACAGTGAGTGTCTACAGCAACCTGCGAAACACAGTGGAGGACCTGTCCTGGTTTCAGGCTGCTTTTCAGCCAGTGATGTTGAGGGTCTTGTCAAAATTGCTGGAATTATGAACACAAAAAAAGTACAGCGAACATCCAAAGGAGAGCTTTGAATGTCCTTCAAGAAGCCTGGAGAACTATTCCTGAAGACTACTACTAAGAAAGTACAGGAAAGCTGCCTGAGAGAGCTCAGGCTATTTAGAGAGTAAAGGCGGTTGTACCAAATGTTGACATTTAGTCTCATTAGAATCGTACAAACTCTGTTTTTTCCTTCTATACTCATAATTATATACTGTGCATGTTAGCGTATGCATTGAATTTGGAGACAAATCAGAAAAGTCTTTGCAAAGACAGGTATTGTTCATTCTGCCACATGTCAGTGAATTTGCTGAAAAACTCTATAACCTCTAGACCTTGAAAAATTTGTGCTCTGCTGTTTTAGAATAAATGTTACCTGTGAGATGCCTTTGAAATCATAACAGTTTGGTAGCCCAGACAGGACTACATTGATCACATAATCATGGAGTTTTGCATGAAAAAAGAAAGTAAAGAAAAAACTACACTGAATGTTCAACAAGGTGATACACTGCAGGCTAAACACTAATATATTTCTGGCTGAAAAATTGCCTCAAATTCAGCCCTGAATGTCTTCAACGCTTGGACGCCTTTAGAGAAACTGCAGCTCACATGCACAGAACCAGAGCTCTGAAGATGTTGAACATCAAACACAACTCAGTGGTCTGAATACAAATGTGTAGATTTTGAGCCAAACTCATTTCAAGTCTAGATTAACCCCGCCCCCACCCAAAAAGCAGAAAAAAAAATGAAATGAGACAAGCATTTATAACTGACTCGTTCTGTTCTTCTTCTCCACCCTTCTCTTCTTCCAGAGTGCAACTGCAACCAGATGGGCTCTGTTCATGACCGGTGTAACGGCACAGGTTTCTGTCAGTGTAAAGACGGGGCCACGGGGGCCAAATGTGACGACTGTCTGCCAGGATACTACTGGAAGCAAGGCTGTTACCGTGAGTATGGGGATACTGACTTTTGGTAGTTTAAACAAATTTCGAGTTGAGGAAACGTTGCAGTCTTTCCAGGGCCTTTGCAAGTGCACCATCCATTTAGCTCGTGCAGCTCTGGATGTTGTCCGTTCTCACAGAGGAATAGATCACGTAGCTCATTAGTGACATCAGCCTCTTATTTAATTGATGACCCTGTCGCACCTTAACCCTATTATGGGGAAACGCCTTCGTTATGCCATCTACCATCAAGCCATTGGTCTCAGTCTCAAGTAGACCCAACTACCCACACACACACACAGGTGCACACACACACACACACACACACACACAAATGCATCTGTCTGTGAGTTTTTTATTACAATATGGAACATGCTGCACTAAAAGGCCGTGCAGTTTGTTTTAGCCGTGACATCTTACTCCAGATACTCCCAGGCAACAGAACCAATTATCTTTGGTGTAGTAAAAAAATGTTAGCACATGTAATTACTTCTTGTCACGGAAGCTGGATCCCGTTTCCCCTCAGAACATTTTTAGGTCAAGTATGTTATGTGGTACAGTTACCCAAGTACCTATGGTTCCCGACGATGCTCATTCTTCCAAAAGACTCCTGAACAAATAAAACACATGTTGTGTATTTTCTGCTGGATTTGATACAGTGATTCTGACCTCACCCTGAAAAAGTGCATGCTCAAGAAAAACAGTCAAAGAAAAGGGCTGCAATAACGAAAGAAAAAAAAAAAGACAGGTGTTACCTGTTGTAGTCCCCGAGGCAAAGACTGGAGAATTTATCTCGGCTCTTTCCTTCCTGCTCTTTCTTTTCTACTTTGTTCTTTCTGCCCTGGATTCCTCTCCTCCTCCCCGTTTCTGTTTCCTATCATGTTTTGTCTAACATTGCCCCTTCTATCATCCCCCACCTGTCTCCCTCTTTGGCATACATCTTTCCTTCGTCTTTGTGCTCTTTACTCCCCCACTATCCTTTTACCACCTGTCATTCTGTCACTTCCCCGCATGCTCTTTATTCACAACTCGTCTCTCCCGTTCACCTTACCTCTGCAAATCCTTCACCCTCCATCCTCTACGCCACTTCCTCCCTATGCTGCACTTTCTATTCTCACCTTTCTTTTCTTTTCTGCAGCTAACGTTTGTGACGAGGAAATGCTCCTGTGCCAGAACGGAGGAACGTGCTACCAGAACCTGAAGTGCATCTGTCCTCCAGAGTTCAAGGGGGTACTGTGCCAACATTCGCGCTGTGAGGCGGGCAAGGACTGCAGCGGCGCTTCTTTGCCGCACCCTTCCACGGCCACCCTGCTGCTCGGCACTCTGCTAACCTACCTGCTGGCCACATTAACGCCCCATTGAGCCACGAAAATCCTCCCCACCCCCCAACTCCGCCCACCCCCCTGCCTCACACCTAAAACATGTGTATATGAGCGTATTTGTGAGGCGACGGGTGACCCAAAATGGGAAGGGGTCGTCCCTGTAATGGACCCAACACTGCAGCACTCTTAAAAGCGCACACGCTCACCGATCACTACTCGACTCCCGTTCCCATTTCAAACACACATGCGCACTTCACAGGACTGTAATGGCACTGGGTGTACACTCAGGTGTGCGAAGGACAAACAGAGAATAAATATGAGCAACCTCACAGAAAAAAGATGCAGGGGGGGAAGAAAAATCATACCAACCACTGTTCCCTTTATTCCTAAGCTGGAGCAATGTGCATCAAACCAAAAAGCATAGACAAAAACTTAATCACCACTGTTTCACATCAAAGGGAATGGCTGTTGTAATCACAAGACTTTTCTTTTCTTTTTTTAAATTTCTTCTCTTTCTCGGTT